GCTTAGTTGTTTTTTCACTCCAGTGTTGAAGTGGATTAAAATCTGCACTTTCTATTACGGAAACACACCAACTAAACCTTTCTCATGGGCTAATTTTTTGCTACCAAAGTACAGAAGAGTAGCATTACACAGCTTTGCACTGAACACTCCAAGTGATGCATTTGCATGCTCATTATCGATCCTTTTTAGCACAACACCATGTAATGCCAATTGTAAGTGTAATTCTTTCTGACCTCACAGCAACTGTGTGCAGTATTGCTTTTCATTCCTAAATCAGGATTTTATTCTAGAATGTTTTGGGTTTCTTGATCACAGCTAAGACCCTTACCTTGCAAATAACCGACACAGACATTTGACCCGGGTGACACTGAGGAAACACGGTGCTAGCAGAAGAGACAGCAGCTTCTCCCAGCACATTTACAAGTTTCTGACACTCAGGTAACCAGCCAGCCGCAAGGAGTCTGGTGCTGCCTTGAGGCAAGAAGTCTCACTGGAGTTAATGATTGACAAGAGGCAGGAAAACAGCATGCCCCAGCGTTACAAGATAAGGAAAATTAAAGAAGTTCTGCAAGAATAGGAAGGCTAGCATGATTAAGCTGCATGCTGAGAGGGAGCCCGGTTCTCCATCCTTACAAGGAGCCTCAAGCTGCCTTGATGATTCCGGAGTCACAAGTGTTGGCTTAAGATCAGTTGTTACCACATCCAACCACCTACCTTATTCCTCTGTCAGATGCTGCCCCTAGTGGCATGGAAAACTGATGCGGTTCAGCATTTCAACTCCCGCAGTTAAATCTGATAGATTAAAACTAGTTTCTACCATCATGTATAAAGATAAAAAACATGGTGGCACTTTCTGCACTGCTGACTTCCTCAGGATGCTGTTGTGAGAAAATCAGAGTAGCTTCTGGCACATGGGCAAGTTTCAAGTAATAAGAAACAGTTTGAGATTCGTCAACCCAGTAGCAGACTTCTTCAGAATTGCCAGATTGCCATATTTTATTTTTTGTCAATGAATTTCTTCTGGAGAGAGAGATATTCAGTCACAGATGACAAATCTGTGCAGGCTAACATAAGTATGTTTGGAGGATACCTGCTTACTAGCCTGGCCCAAACTCGAGGTTTCCCCAAACCAAAGCACATTAGCTGTCCTGGGTTCAGCAGCAGCAGTCATTTTTAATCCTTCTTAGTAACTGGTGTAGCACTGTGTTTTGACTTTTGGCCTGGGAACAGAGCTGATAACACCGATGTTTAGTCTGACCGAGGACTTCGTGACATGTATTAAAGTCAGCTTAATATAACTGTCAATGTCCCTAATGAAGTGGCACAAATCTCTTGTGGTAGGATATATACCATGTTTTACTAACACTTTCTAATTACAAGTAGGATGATATGCCCCCTCTCCTCCTCTCTTCTCTGCATACTATTCTGTTCCTATCCCAGTAATGAATGCTGTTGGTATGAAGGTTTCTGGGCACAATTTGAGCTGACAGCGCTAGAGGAAATGGTCGTAACAGTGATGGCCTCTGAGCTGACCACAGAAAGCCTCTTAAGAAAAAAACTTGTTCAGGACCTGTCTGCCTGTGGATTCTGTGGAAGGAAAAGACAGAAACACACACACCACCCGCTGACCTTTTGTCTGAAAGAGTTAAGAGCTTCTAAAAGTAAACAAACAGAAGATTTTCTGAATAAATCGTTTGAAAATAGAAAAATCAAAACAAAAACAAATAAAACTGAACACAGACTATATGAGGCTAGTTCAGTGGCATCAAAACTAAGATTTTATTCCAGCTGTGCCTGGGGAAGCTTGAGAATGAGAAATTGGAATTACAGAATGAACACAGTTTTGCCAAGTGCAGTTCTCAAGCTAGCAAGAACAGGGCTGCTTCTGCACCTTTCCTGGTAGTGGTGGTGGAACCAGGGGGAACACAGGAAGAACAGACCTAATTCTCAGCAGGTCCTTGGAAAGATTGGTATTGATAGAAGGTTCTCTTAGGCAGTGTTGGTTTTTGGAACCAAAAAGAGACTGCAGCCGTGCATGTCTTTTCCCCAGCCTCCCACAGTATCGGGTTATCAGCAAGGTATATGCCAAAACACAGCCTGCCAAACATTTAAAGCACTCAGATTAGTTCTCTGAGAAGTTTCTCTGTCTCAACCTAACAAGCTACATCCCAACCTATTCCTGTTTTATCCTGTGATTTTATTACAGCCTTGTAGAGAGAATACCTTACCTCAGAGACACAGTTGACATAGTTGAGTATGAAATACAAGGTGGAGCAGAGGAATTCAAAGAAAAGGTGGCCTAGCTATAGCCTCTTTTGTAACCATCTCTCCCTTTTCCTAGAGAAGCAAATGAGTATTGAAAGGGCACAGGTGAAACCTGCTCTGTAAAGGAATCGTTACATAGGAGCAGATGTAGTGTTAACAGTCATGCACCAGAAGAAACAGCTGAGTAGGAGTTAAGCAAGCAGTGTACATGCAGTAGGTCAGTAAACTGACTGCAAAGCAACAACTGTATCCTACAACTCAAGCTGGCTCTGAGCCTTCTGTGCCAGAACAAAAAGACTGCAGAGATTACGCAGTGTTAGCACCAGTCAAGAAGCAGGAGGCAAGATGAGGCTGTGATCGTTAGCTGTCCTTGTTCTCTATGCCACCACAATAGTAATATCTGTGAGAAAATTAAATCTATTTTGTTTTAGACAGAGAGCGCCTTCCCTTTCTTGCACTGTTGCCACAATAAATGTAGCAAAACTCGCTGTGTACTTCCCCTTCTGTATTTGTTATACACTGTGGCAAAAAAGTGCAAGAAGAAAACAAATGTTTAGTTGTATAAACACTATCAGTACAATGCATAGAAGTTGCTCAAATTCCATTAAGTCTCCAGGTAAGAGACATGGAGTTTGCAAAGACAAGTACTAACCTTTCAGAGAGAAAGAGCAGTGACTCATGATAAAAAGTTGGTAAGGGCAGAACTACTGTCTTAACTGAAGAGAGCAGGTATTCAGATTATGTTCCAGTCTGTGCAACTGTGCAGCTTAGACTGTTGCACAAGCACATGCAAGAAGGCTCAAGACAAACTAGCCCTGACTGCTGGGGTTCTGAACAGAAGCCAAGTAGATTGCAGCAGCTGTACATTCAGCAAGTTGATGGCTATATTCTGCTGTCTGTTGCAGAAGTCTTGCACATATTTTAAAGTTCTGAAAGTGATTTCATTTGGAGTAATGAATGATGACGCATCTGGTACTTGGATCTTAAACTGAGCACTTGCTGAACAAATTTATTAATACATCCCTGCTCAGCACTACTTACTCAACACTACTACTGAAAACCTAAAGTCTGAGAAACCTACAGTAAGTAGGCAAAGCTCACTCTGGAATTTAATGACATTTTAAGCTACATTATATGTAAAGGTTGTAGAATAACTTGTATTTCATGGGGCATTCAGGAAGTGTGGGGGATGAAGGCTACTTTCATGCAGAGGGATCTGGAAAAAAAGTGAATGCCAGGAGGGAAAAGACTATAGAGGAGGGTGTGATTGCTTTGTAGTGTCAGTTGACTATTCAGAGCTGAAATTATCTAGACTTTTGATAAATTTTGCTTACACATGGTTACCACATTAAATATCTGTAGATTTTCTGATGGTCAAAAAGCCATGACTGGTGTCAGTCAAGTTTCCTATATTCAGAGCTTGTAAGCAGCAGTCCTTCAGGCTCAGTTTTTAATTTCCTCTGAAGAAAAAGCCTTACTGCTGGACTGAGAGTGGTCTGAAAAGGGTGTTAGAGATGATGGTCCAGGGGACTTGCACCAGGGTCTCTCACGAACTGATGCTTCCTTTTGTGGGCCCTTCCATTCTTTCCAACTTTAGCTTATGAGAGAGAATTAGATTTTTAACCCTTCTTTGAATTCACACCAGGCAGCACCCCAGCAGCTGCCATCTTCTCCCCTCAGCTTCCATTCCGTCATTGTGTGCTGATGGATGACGTTTCTGGACCCCTTTTTCCTGCTTCTGGCTTTCCTGGCATAGGATCATGCTCTTCTTCATTTTTCTCTTTTGTATTTTTCTCCTGCTCGCTTGGGGTATTGTGCGCAGTTCTGGTGTCCTCAACATAAAAAGGACATGGAACTGTTGGAACAAGTCCAGAGGAGGGCCACGAGGATGATCAGGGGACTGGAGCACTTCCCATATGAAGACAGGCTGAGAAAGTTGGGGCTGTTCAGCCTGGAGAAGGCTGCGTGGAGACCTCATAGCAGCCTTCCAGTATCTGAAGGGGGCTTATAGGGATGCTGGAGAGGGACTCTTCATTAGGAAATGTAGTGCTAGGACAAAGGGTAATGGGTTGAAACATAAACAGGGGCAGTTTAGATTGATACAGGGAAGAAGTTTCACTGTGAGGGTGTTGAGTCACTGAAATGGGTTGCCCAAGGAAGCTGTGAATGCCCCATCCCTGGCAGTGTTGAAGGTCGGGTTGGACAGAGCCTTGGGTGACATGGTTTAGTGTGACGTGTCCCTGCCCATGGCAGGGGGGTTGGAACTTGATGATCTTAAGGTCCTTTCCAACCCTGGCTATTCTATGATTCTATGTGATAAAAGAGAGATTGCCAATGCTAAAGCATAATTAGCATGATAAAGCTTGCAAGGTAACCAAGTCAGAAATTAAACAGTATTTAGATGACCCAAATACTCCTTCCAGAGTTCTGACCTGCCTTCACTTATAAATGATAGATTTTTTCCACATTATGAAAAATATATGGGCTGGCAGACAGTCATAGGTACATCAAAGATCTAGGTGGAAAGTGTTATTTGTAGTTTTCCTCCATCAGGTATACATCTGTAAGTGATAGCATGTAATTGAGCATAAAGGTTCTGCAGAAATTGAGCTGTGTAAATCTGTAGCCATCTAGCAGTTTTGACAGCACAAGTCAAAGTAACAGGATATCAAAACCAGAGAAAGGAATCTTCTTGTTTGGTTTAAAACCACTTTTATTATAAATGTGAGATTAACTAAAATCACTGTTTCATCAAGGAAATATTAAATTCACATTTTACGTATTGGAATATCACAAAATAACCATCTGACGGCTACTTCAGCTTTCTTTCAATGACTGGGACTTGGGCTATTTTCACTTATTTTCATCCACCACTCACAGCAATCAGAAAATCAGCTTTTTTGGTAGTCCTGAAAAATGTAAATCACACTGTTACCAAAGTAAAGGAGTACAGCCCCCTCATTAAGATTTTAGTATTTATTTGATACTGTTCCTCAGATGTATCTTCTCTGAGCTGCTTAATACTGTTTGCCGCAGCAGTACTACGTGACTTTTCCCAATGAATCAATCTATGACATGATGCTAGAATCCAAGCTTACCTGAATCAGTATGCATACTTCAAATGAGTCCCAAATTCTTTAATTGTGTTAACTGCATTTGAGGTATATGTAAGTATTTCTCCTTGTTGGTTTAAAAAGCTAGCCAGTTAGTTGTACTTTTAAACCTAAAAAAGGCAAGCTATTCTAAGGCTTAACCCTGCCCCACGACACATATATATTCAATGATTTTTCTTAGGTGCTATCATCACCCAGCAATAAGCTGTCGGCAGAAAGTAATAACCCTTTTAGTGTCTGCCTCATCGCTTAATCACATCTTTGTTTAGTATCACCTGTAAAGATGATGAGACCAGTACGTTTTTGATTCTATTCCAGATCTTGTCCTGTCACTTCTTCATATGCTACTTATTTGTAATGTAGGTAGAATAAACCATAGCTGCCTTCTGGGCCGGATATCAAGCTTATTATGAAAGAACCCAACAGTTGTTACCTGCCCTATAGGCAGAGGTCTCCTCTAAAATACACTAACACTTGATCATACCCATGAACTTTAAACGAATGCCCAAGCAACACAAATTCTTAACTTTAGATACAATGTTGGGGTTTTTTCCACAAACCAATATAGAATGGTACTGAAATTAAGACAGGTTCCTTATACCGCATTAACTAAGGAAAAAGTTTAGTGCTGTATCTTTTACATCTGTTTTGTGAACCTATAACTCTGTAGAAATGCAGATTAATAGGACTAGAAACTGTGCCCTGGGGAAGCAATGCTGCTTTTGATTACATGTTTGCCAGAGTGGAGAAGATGGACAATGATGTCACCATAGCATCAGTGTCTCCACATACCTCACTGATAAGAAATAAGTGGTAGCAATACCTAAAAATACTGCATGCTTAATACTTTTTACAGGCAGTCACTCATCTGATGATAGTTTCGTCCTGACAATAAACACACTTTCCTGAGAATTACACCTGCCACACATTTCAGTTGAGTAAACACACCCCACAAGCCACAAAGGCTTGCTCTTGTGGAAAAGCAGCTCTTACACTGATGGCATATATCTTTCCCTCCTGGCAGCCAGCCCCTAGTACCATTTTATAAGAGGGTACCCAGCAGTAATCAGTTCATCATGCTAAGTTCCAGAGTGCTACCTCAACAGGGCTAAGGGAAAGAGAATGTACTGGGCAGGTGTCCTGGGCTCAGCAGTAGCAGTCATTTTTCTCCTTCTTGGTAGCTGGTGTAGGGCTGGGTTTTGACTTTCGGCCTGGGAACAGAGCTGATAACAATAATGGTTTGGTTTGGCCAAGGACTTCGTGAGTCTCATGCTCTGCCAGGGAGGAGGGGAAGCTGGGAGGAAGCAGAGACAGGACACCTGACCCAAACTGACCAAAGAGGTATTCCATACCACAGCATGTCATGCCCAGGATGTAACGGAGAGTTACCTGGAAGGGCTAGTTCACTGCAGGGCTGGACTAGGTATCAGCCGGTGCTTGGCTGGGCTGCCGGGGTGAGTTATCAGTCAGCTGGTGCTGAGGTGTTGTATTCTCTTCCCTTGTTATTTCCTTTATCGTTATTATTATTGGTGGTAGCAGTAGTGATTTGTGTTATATCTTAGTTACTTAACTGTTCCTATCTCAATCCGTGGGAGTTGCATTCTTTCTGATTCTCCTCTCCATCCCCCCAAGAGTAGGGGAGGGCAAGAAGGGGGGGGGGATGAGTGAAAAAGCTGTCTGGCTGGGTTTAAACCACGACAGCAGGATGCAAGCACAGACCAGCATAAAAATTCTAGGGAATGCAATTTATTTCCCTGAAATTACCTTTGCACATTTCTACTCTTAATATGAATAAACATGTGCTGTACTTTGAATTATATTTAAACAAAGACTGTAGGATATTCTTCCAAAGCAATATCCAGATTTTAACTGTAGAAGATAACACCATGTAAGGATGTCATATGAAATCCAGGGTAGATTTGCTAGCTCTAACACTGGCTCTCTCCTTTAACATTTGTTGGCCAGCAGATGATCTACCTTTGAGATTCTCTAATTCTGTCAGCTCAGCTAAGGCAGAATATATATATATATATATATATATACAGAATATAATGGAAAATTCACAACACAAACCCCATCATGTTTCTGTTGCCATTATATTGCTTTTTATACTGATACTTAAATGTCCCAAAAAGTAATGCTGACTTCCTAAATGCCTTTGTTGCAGGCAATCTCGAAACTTCTGGCATTTAACGCACAAGTTTGATTTCCTCTTGCTAAAGATGAGACTTTTGTGAAGACAATAAAGCAGTTAAGTGTTCTAGCTTGATACAGCTCTAGAAACTGCTCACTGTCAAATGCAAGACTTCAAATGGTGAAGTCACAGAATTCAAGGAAGCATTTCTTCCTTGTTCCTGTCCTTTAGGTAACAAGCATATTTTAGGGCTTGTACTCCAAAACACTGATCACAGATCTCCACATGGTCCTTGCAAAAGGACCTAAAAAGCTTAATTTAATTATTTATGCTATGGTAACTTTATGAATTCCAACATGTTGGTTGAACCATGGTACTAGGGTCAGCCAGAGTCAACTGGTTAAATTTTTCTTTGAGATTAGAATCTTAAGACAGCAAAGTAATGCATTTTACTCTTTGACAGACTGAGAAACAACAAGTGCCTAAAAAAGTAAGTTAGATTCTAATAATGTAGCTGTCTCTCTGAATCTGAGAGGAAATGCATTTTCATGGAAGCATCTTCATTCTAAAAATGTATCACTCTCATAATCTCGTACTGGCAATAGCAAGAAGCTGATGCTAACCTGACAGCTATCTATCATATTCTAGCTGTTAAGATGACCAGCTCCCAGTTTAAGAACTAGTATTTGCCATTCCACTAAGAATTCTAGGTAATTTAGCTGCAAATACAGGTCTTGAGTGCTCAGAGCTTTTCTTGCCATGAATATATAAAGCACATTCTACTGTTAGGGGAAGACTGAAGGCTCCATATAGATGTTAGGGAATAGGCTTGCCTTTTAAAAGAGTCACTGAAATGTGCTTATTTTCCTTAACCAGAGCAGTCTTAACAGTTCACTTGCTTCCAATTTACATTCTGCCATTTGTTAGAATAACATGCTTTATTTCTCCCTCACACCCTCTTTTTTTTTTTTTTGTTTTAAGTGATGTAAAGTTATTTCCACCTCAGTAAGATGTCTCAGGAAAAAAACAGGGGTGGGAAACCATAATAGCCTGTGTTTTAAGAGGCAGTACCAAACCCCATTACAGAAATTAACAGAATTGGGTATTTCTCCTAACAAATAGATTCCTAAGCATCATAAGAGATGCTTTTTTTTTCATACTAGCTCTGTTAGAATACAGAACTAAGTCATTCCCACCTTAAGGCATTTATCCTAAATCATAAATCATTAAAGGGCTTCAGCTGGTGCTGGCGCCCACGGGGGTACTGCATTCAGAATTTTTGTTCTGAAACACCAAAGGTATCACATTTTCTCTGAGCACGTAGCAAGGTTACCTTGATCTATTCCATCTGTTCTTTTTCTTTTTAAATTTGAAAGTGCATTTTGTTGCTCTTTCGCAACTTCTCCGGGACAGTTGGGTCTTGGCAGCCTATTTCCTGGTGTTGGTCCTGGTCGGTTACTGAAATACTTCTGTTTCAATGCCTTAATGATAATGAGAGAAAAATAACACAGTAGTTAAAGCGTCAGAACACCACCTATAAAGAGGTTACAATGAAGTTAAAGCACTTGCAACTGGGATTTCAAAACTACTTGGATACTTTTATAGAAGGTCACCTTGGGGCAAACCAAGATTTTGTGATCTCAATGACTACCCGCTGCACTTTGATTTGTAAGCCAAAAAATAATTACTTTTGACTAGTACTCAAGACATCCTCACAAAACTCTAGACAACACTGCAGGTGGTCTTCTACAAACAGCAAATTTCTAGCTCTGAAGAGCTCACATTCTGAATAGACAAATGAGACAAGAGGATAAAGAAGTAGTAATAAAGAAAGATTAGAACATATCCAAAATCTTGATCTGATGTGGGACCTGGACATCAGCTATTCTGCTAGCTTTTAAGATAGGTCTTTCCCCAAACTTTCAACTGTGCTACTTCTCATTGTAAATTCTGAAAAAACTTAATTTGAATTAGATCATAAGATAAACACAGGTGAGCAGGGCTGATTTCATGTACTAGAATTACAAACCCTATTTTAAAATTTTGAAATTCCAGAGCTTCCATAAATGGTGGTTAAGGAAAAGAGGCTAAACTTTCTCTTATCCATCATTACTTTTGCTAATCCGCTACATGGCATTCAATGCCAGCTGTAAATTAAGCTAATACAGTGAGTCCATGTTGTTTCCTGCCTTAAACTGTGGTGTTGTCAATAAAAATGCTAGACTAGAAAAATAATGTATATTTAATATTCAAGTTACTATCCTATTATATGACCTCTAAAATTACTTCATATGTACGAACTAGTACAGAGATGTCCCAGGCATAGCAGAACTATGTACGAACTAGTACAGAGATGTCCCAAGCATAGCAGAACTAACTAGCTGGAATTTTATAGTGAAAGTTCCTAAAGATGGTGACCAAAAAACCCTGAATGTGCTCTGAAAAAGTCTTCTAGAAAAAAGATATGGAAAAGGATATTCAGATTATAGTTCTGGTTTAAAACACCATACAATTTCATTTTAAAAAAGAATCCAAAAAAAGTTTAAATGAAATTGAAAAAGAGACTGGATGAAGTAAGGATGAAAACCTTTCAAACCCAGGGAACAAGACATGCTATGTTAACACTAAAGTTTCAAGCTTTAGGTGGCTGAATTTTGAATGTCAGATATTAGGACTGTCTGAATGCTATGATTCATACACATTTTAGTTGTCTACCTTTGCTATATATTGGAACAGGGATGGTCAGTCACCATTATTCAGGTCTGTCAAAGTTCTTTCTATGGAAATATGTTCCTAGTATTTCATAGACAAAACTATATGACATTACATTTCAAACCTGGCTTACTAGCTTCAAAGTACATTTATATCCAGTATTAATGGTACGTTAACAAACATTAGGATATAATGCAAATATACTATACCTGAGTAGCTGTAAGCCTTGTGCACGGATTAAATGTGAATAAGCCTTGCAGAAGATCAAGCAAATCATCACCAGCTGCACTGAAGATATGGTGAAGGGGCATTCCAGGAAAAGACTTAAATGTGACATAATCTGGAAGACTTGTCATCCCCTAGAAAGGTGTATAAAATAGAACATATGTTTTTCAAGTTAGCAAAGAGAACTGCTATCTTTCATCAGAAACAAACTATCTTTCAAAACACCTTGCTAATTCTTGGTCAACAAAATAAAATTAATTTAAGAACAGTAGGTCCTGAAGACTTAAAAAAACAAAACAAAAAAAAAACAAAACCAAAAAACTGTTACAATTATGTCACACATTCCTGTTCCAAGTGCTTTCATTTCCCTGCTTTAGTGATGACCAGCCCAAAAGGAAAGCTGCAATCATATTATGGAAAACTTTTTTGTGTGTGTGTGTGTGAACTGATATGGTAGAAGAGACAAGATTCACAAAAGAGCAGTCCATATTTTCTTCAAGTTAATAATACACTGTCCTCCTCCTTCAAGTTATCTGATCATCAAAAGCATTTTGAAAGGCACAATCAAAACTTTTTATCTGGGGAGTGGGGAGAGAGAAAGAAAATAGGCCAAGCAGGTAGCAGCAGATGAATTGAATGCTTTTTTCTCCTGTAGGTATGAAATCAATCCCATTGTATTCAAATTCTATCATAAAAAATTATCATGTAGCAGACAATTATCCAAACATAATATTTTAAATCTCTATAGTCACCACACTTCATTAAGCTTACCCAAGCAAAATACAGTATTAACACTGAAGTGGAAAATGTGCTCAATTACAATCTGACAATAAAGCTTTCAATTCTTGAAAGGCATGGGTTTGCAAATTAATTTGGGAATGCATCATCTCTGTCGTGCTACTATCTTCTGTTCTCTCCTTTCCCCACCTACATCTTAACTCTTCAAAGCAAGCAGAACCGTCACTGCAAAAATCTTCATGCCTTTCATTTAGAATCTCAGTGCAGTAACAGAATTGTATTGGGCTACAAATGCCTTACACAGTATTTCTCCATACAGCTATAGCTCCATTTGGTGATTGCTTACTACAGCATTCAAGCACCATTTACACAAAGGAAAAGTGGCATAGAGAAGGAGCAGAGGTGGGATAGGATGACTTGTTAAAAGTCCAGAGGGTGCTTCCATGACTCAATTACAAAAAAGGATGGTCTGACCAGGGAGTTCTGGAGCCCCTGTGCCCATTGGCTCGTCCAAGCTGCCCATCTGAAGAAGCCATGCCCTGCTTCCTGTCAGTCTGCCTAATACCATGGTTAGGTTAGGTCATTGTGTGCCCTGATGCTATGTTTGACCTGGTATTATTGAACTTACTGTTATCTCGGAGATAGCTGTACTACTAATTTGTGTTGGTTTCAGTACCGTTACTCTGAGATAAACTGTTTTCCCTAAAGCTGTTGGTCTGGTGGTTCTTACTATACCCCAAATCTTTAACTTATCCAGGCCCAACTAAGACCCTAAAAATTGCTCCTACTTCTGAAAGCTATTAAAGGCTTTCAGGTTAAAGCAGACTGATTAACCTAGCATCTCAAAAACATAAAGCAGTAACAATAATTTCATACCAATATCCATGGGAAACTGTGGATAAATACAGAAAGGTAACCAAGAAGTTCCATTACTCTTGCTTAATGCTAACAACAGTGCTATACTGACCAAAGATTTACCAAGAGAGACAATATATCTCAGCTGCTTATCCTACTTTGTGAGATCAGGCAGCTGCATTCTGAAAATCCACTTCAGTATTCTGGTACACTCCTTAAGTTTGAAAGCTAAAACAGAGAGTTACCAAGTGAAACTAATGTCAGTCTGATAAACAAAAGAACTTACAGGCCACAGGTCTTCTGTTGGAGTGCCCAGTGTTTCAAATATCTTTGTTAGCTGGTCAAGATCGGAGTCTCCAGGTAAAAAGGGAACCTAGAAGAAGGCAACAACATTTGATTGAATTAACTTCTGAATTTTAGTTCTAGAGAAAAACTGTGAGCTATGCCTCATAACTGCAGGGCAAAACATCTTTGTGTATCAGCTGCCCACAAAGACATACAATATTTAACGGTTTCTAATGATGTCCAAATAGATTCTGAAGGTTTCTTGCAATCCAGGTTTGACAGCACTGACTTGATAGCAGAAAGCTAACTGTAAACTAAACCACCAGCATATTTATGTAAAGTAACTAAACACAGGAAAGGTTTTACATCTCATTTGCCAGTTTAAAGTTGATAGGTCACAGTAATCTTTCCATAATCTGCTCCCTGAAGTAAGGTTTTATATATAATCAAAATATTTAAAGTGAATTGTAGCTAGATTACACAAGCAGCAGTAAGACTGATGGAATGAGGGAGAGTAGTGACCCACTAGGACAGAAGCTGCCTAATCAGTGTCATACCTCATTTAAACTAAGCAGAAGACAGAAAAGGGGTTACTTGCCCTGTTCAACTTGTAGCTTGCATATCAGGTACCCAACGCCAAGAAAAATGAGACTTTGCAGCAAAAGCAAAATTATGAGCAATTATAGGCAGTAATGAACAGAGACTTTCAATGACTGTGATGCTTATGGAACCTTAGTCTATTCCAAACCTTCACTTTTCTTACTGCTACCAAGTTTTTGGAAGCTTTTTTCTCTCCTTCCTTTTCTTCCTTTCCAAAATTGCCTAACTGCCTTTGCCTGCTGCTGCTAGCAGGAGAGAGAAAGCCCCCACACAAAGTTGCAACGCACTGAAGAGCAAATCCATAATGCTTACGTTTCAAGACTTACCCTAAGAAGCAGTTCAGCTAAAATACAACCAACAGCCCACATATCGACACCAACACCATACATTCTAGCACCAAACAATAGTTCTGGGGCTCGGTACCACCTGAAAAAAAACCCACATTTTGGAGAAAACTCGCAAAAGGGAATCCTTTGCATATTTGCAGACCTGTTTTTTAAAGCATATATTAAATAAGCATGCCATAAACATTAATAAATATTTTAATTGGGTCAAGCTTTTGCCTTGTAATAGGTATTGTGAATAGCTACAAAAAGAAGATTCTAAGTGTCAAGAGTAACAAAAAGTAACAGCTGTCTTGCTCTGAAAGCCAGTCTCAGAGGCAGATACATATTATTTTCACATTTCAAAAGAGTATCACACACCACAACAACCCCATGGATGCATGCTCTGGCAGTTCTTACAGAGACTCTGCTAAACAATGCTTTCTCATGTTTCTTTGGGAAGCTCTTGCCACTACAGCCACATCACATGAGATGGATGTCAACTTTCAAGATGTTGATTTGACATGGCACATTTCAAGAGACACTGCAAAACAGCTACACAATCACTATGTAATTAAAAAACAGTGTCTTACCTTGTTACTACCTGGTGTGTATAAACTCTGTTTGGGCTTCCAAAAGATTTTGCCAAGCCAAAGTCAGCCAATTTTAAAACTCCGTTTTCATCTAACAACAAATTATTTGGTTTAAGATCCTGTCAGTACAGAAAGCAAAGAATGACTTTTTGACAGTGTTGATAAAAAACAGGCATATAATGAACCTCCTGGCAAGTGTGCTATCACAGTATTCTAATATACAGTTCAGCTAAAATACAACCAACAGCCCACATATCGACGCCAACACTATACATTCTAGCACCGAACAATAGTTCTGGGGCTCGGTACCACCTGAAAAAAAAAAAACACATTTTGGAGAAAACTCACAAAAGGGAATCCTTTGCATACTTTGCAGACCTGACAGCACCCAAGCATTGTTCAGCTATAGACAAACATTAGTGTGTTACCAGAACTGTTTCAAGAACAAATAAAAAAACCCAAACAACACACACTGCACATCTTACAGGCTGTTTTGAAAGTTCAGTCCATCCCAGCCAGACCCAGTTCAGTGCTCACCAAAGTCAAATTTAACTTGAGGCACTTCTATATAAACATTTAAATAACTACATCAGTAATTCTTACACTTCTGGTACTGCTACTGTTTCTCCAGCTAGCATGCACACCTACAGACTAACAGTGTCCAAACTTCAAAACTATCTTCATTAGACTTCAGACTCAAATTCCATCAAATGTGATTTCTGTTACAGCATCCAGGCTGTAAATTTCGTACATGCTTACCCTGTGTAGAATCCAGTGCTGATGCAAATATTCTAATCCTTGAAGGGTCATCAGCATATATGCCTTGATATGAGACTGTGTCAACACAATACTAGTATCCTTTATAATAACCTGTAAAGTGTTAGATTGACAATAAGTCTTACCATGCAAGATTAACTTACTTCCATTCTTCCAGACCAAAAGTTATTTCATCCTTTAAGATCAAATTTAAATTGGCAATCATGTATTTTCTACCATTCTCACCTTTTTTTTTTTTTTTTTTCTTTCCAAGAAAATGTCTATTCTGGAGATCAGAAATTGAAATGGGGAGTCCGGACATCCTACATGAACTTTGCATAACAGGCAAATGAGAAAACGGGGGTGGGGGGGGAACGCAAGTATATTATCTCAGTTCCAGTCTGATACCCAGACTTTACAAGACAAAGATGTATACACAAAAATTATAAATGTGTTAGTGAAGTTGAAATTATGTTCCCACTTATTCCTTCTCTCTTTATGCAACCTACGTATCTGGTCTTTGTGAATGCAATGGTTTCCTCTTCTATTTCCAAGAAGATAGGAAGTATGACCACCTTACTGTATTTTAACAAATTGCTTAGGTTTTCCACATTCTCTGCTTTTTTAACATGAAAATTCTATGCACACATCCTGTTTGAAAGTATTTTCTACATTACACCCCAACATGCTTGTCAATATTACAGTCCAGTTCAGTAACAGCATTTCCTAAGTTTTAAGTTGTTTGAGACTTATAAAAATAGCTAAGGCTACACAAATTTTCATGTATGCAGCATATGCACAATCACAACAGGCTACAGTCCAAAATGGTGGCCTGAGTAATACCACAATACAGTTAAATGCTCCATATACCATTTTATAGTACAGAAGTATTTTATTCCTCTTTGCTTACTATTACCTTCTTCAGCTCTAAATGTTGCCTAGCTACTAAGTCAACAGAATGAATCCTCTAAAAAGTCAACTCATTAACTTCTATTAGCAAAAACCTGATCTAACCTTTTCAGTCTTGCATTCGTCTGGCTTTCACCTACCTGTCAATGTTTTCTTTTAACATTTTAAATGCAATCCCTAGCTCTTGTGTAATAATCCTGCATGTGTAATAATCCTGCTTAACAACTACATTAATTTCAGTCCAGAGTAGGTATAATGTGTGCATATACACATCTGACATGAACTGCTATCTAAGACAGTTTTCCAAATCAAAAAATCTCGCCTCATACTATCTCATATAAAGGCTTCCACAAAACCAAACTGACTTAAGGCCTTGGAGAATGAAGATACTGATTTGTAAGTAATGAGCATCATTACATTTTTAAGAATGGATCAGGTGCGTGTGACTTTAGCACCAGCTCATCACTTGGTACACTTTAGTATTGTCCTTATTTGACCATGTTTGATGATAGAATGCTTAGCACTTGCACTCTGAGAGACTGATCTATGGATTGAGGTACTAGGAAACTAACACAGTAAAGAATCCGTTTCCTGAAGATCATGCTGACAAGTATTTAAAAGTAAAGGCATTATCAGCTGAGAACTCACAAAAATTATGAAATTCTTCAAACTACTTTTAAGACATGATCTTAAGCAACTGGCAATGTATGTCACCTTTCTCATACGGGCAAATGTAATCTTGTTAAAACAGTATTAAAAAAGAAAAAAACCCAAACATTTGAAGATATGGAAATAAAAGTAATGAAAAATCTTACCTCTAGATCCGTTTCCATAAAATCAAATACCAAACTAATATTGGACTTGTGTCCAAATGCATCTTGAAGCTGTAAAACCAAATACATTATGATGAAGCTACTGTTGTACTTCCGGTTTTCTAAATTCATGCACCATTGTAGTCTGCATGTGGATTTTCAGCTTGCTGAAATGGTTTAAATTTTTCAACTTGCAATACAAAAATTCTTACTCAGTTTAGCTTCTTCATTCAGCCTCACATTAATTAAAAAAAAATTAAAAAAAATTTCACTGTGTCAGCTACACCAGGCAGTCTAACCTTGTCCCCTCCCCAGACTTTGCTGTTCTACAAAACTCCCACTCTTTTGTGAGACCAGACTGAGTTTTCCTATGAATTCAAGTTCTGTGTATCTGCTTCCTGTAAGCATGCAGTACTTAGAAATTTTAAAGTATCTTTAGCTCCAGCTATCTGCAGCTGGAAGTCAACCAAAATGCAACTGAAATGGTACAGGTTTTCCTCTTCCAAACAGAGGTTTTAGATACTAGCACAAAAACCTAATAAGCCACATGAGTCCCACTTTATCACTGCTTACAAAAGCCTGCTTTAGGCTGTCACCAGTTCCATATGAAGCAAACGATCAGCTAAATTCAGCACTGTACTCACCTGTAAGCCTTTCAAGAGAGATGCAAAATCAGGTAATCTAAATTTCCACAATTCTCGTCATCATTAACACTCACACAGACCCAGCCTAAAAAGTAATAGGATTTCAAAGCAAACGACTTTGTCCTTGTTACTTAAACAGTTGGGTTTTGGTTGGTTTTTTTTTTGTTGTTGTTTTTTTTGTTTGGTTGGTTTTTTTTTGGTATAACAGTTGGTTTATTGCTCATTTTGGGCTAGTAAAAATTAGCTCAAATAAAATTAAGCATCATGTCAATGACCCAACTAATTCTAAATTTCAGTCTGAGTCTGTACCAAAAGTATCTGAGGACTGATTCTAGAAGTAGCATTCATTTTACTTACACCAATAATATTTGGATGACTTAGCTCCTGTAACAATTTTATCTCTCTGAGGGCTGTTCTGTTGATTCCTACATTGAACAAAAAAAAAAAAAAAAAAAAAAGAAGAAAGAAGAAAAAACCCCAAAGATGAGAACAGAATAAAATTTAAAACTCTGGATTAGCACCAAAGAAATCTCCCACTCTGTTAGTCAGGGACAATTTAGTACTGCAACATAACTTTCACACCACTCAACAATTTGTTAAACAACAAATATTGCCATAGGTGAGTTTTCTGCAGAATAAAAGTGAATGTACACTTTCTTCCGCAACAAATAAATTCTATACCACAGTAACCTGGTTTATGAAGCAACATGTTCCCCCTTTGGCAAAGAGGGAAGTTTTAAGCAAGAACCTGGGGGTGGGAGGCAGGGAAGAGAAAATCACAACTCTCTGGCAGCCTGCTCAGCTGTGAGGACTCTGGGATTGGTGCTCAGTTTCTCTTAAAAATTCTCCCCTTCGAACAGAATTGGAGAATTCAGTACAAAGATTCTTGACTGGGAAGCTGGTAACCTGATGCAGGATATGTGAAAAATGGCAGCTTACACACATACAAGATTCTACTGGACCACACAGGCTGTAAAAGAAGACCAGGATTATTGGATTTTTACTTGCTATGTCCATGCCTAAAGGTATGTGGCTCGTCAGAGCACACGACCAAAGAACACTACTCTACAGACCAAATTTCTCAACAGAAGACAGACCCATACAGATACAAGAGTTATAAGATTGTTGTTTTTATCAACTTTCGTCTCACCAAAATCACAAAAATAGAGCAAAGGAAACACCTGAAAACAGAGATAAATACTCCCACCCATCTTAAAATATTTAAGACAGGGACATGCATTAATACAAAAAGATATTCTAAACTCAGTGATGTAAAGATTACTATTCTATGTTATATATTCCTGTTTGTGTTCATCTTAAACTGAGAAATTAAGTGGTTATACCCTCGTATTTAGATATTTACCATGCATGCAGATAGCTCTGCTGCTTTTTTCTGTCCCTGCAGTTTGGGAACCAAAGCCCTACTAAGCCTTACATAACAGCTGAGCTCATTTTCCTCAGTCAAGTTGAGGTGTAACAAATTAAAAGGTATTAATTTACAATACCAAAGCAAATAAAGTAGCAAGAATTTGGTTTATTACTCACCATCTTTAGCTTCTGATCTATGCCCCAGCTTAATCTAAAAAGAAATGTTTCGTATTATATAAGGTTCAGCTACCTGCCCCAAGGGTAGAGGGCACATTATTTAGCATTGCTCTTCTAAGACCTTCCTTAAGTTTCAGGACCATGAAGCACTTTACCAGCTAGGGTTGGTTTTGGTTTGTTTTTTTTCCCTTTAAAAACAAATGTCTCTACAGCATTAGTTTTTAAAAAAGCTTAAGAATAGACATGATGGTGCTGAAAACAGACATAACGCAAACTGGCTGCACAAAATGCCTTCTAGACACAAAGCTTTATTATACTACTAACGTGCTTCTCCTTAGGGGAAAATGAGAGTGAAGTAACTGACAGTTGTCTTAGAACGACTGTAGTAAAATCAGCACACTCTGTAAATGGGAGCTGGCTTAAAGTCCTATCTCAGTCATCTACTATCCTGAAATTTTCAAGTCCAGAACCCTACCGTTGATATTTTCAGATTATAGAAGAAAATGTTATGATAAAAACAAGAATACTTTAAGCAACATGCTGCCAGTAGCAGCCATACAGGTAAAGTATTATAATGCTAAAAGAGATTAGTTTATCAAACAAAATTACCTACTATTGATACTGTTTGACTTGCTCAGTAAAGCAGGCTCCTTAACCAAAGCACTGTAATGTCCATTTTTTCATTCCTTACAAAGCACTAGAGCTAATCACCTGGTTTTAATACAAAATTTTCTTGTAGTCTCTTAGAATCATAGAATAGTTAGGGTTGGAAAGGACCTTAAGATCATCTTAGCTCCAACCCCTCTGCCATAACTGAAATTTCAAGTTGCAAAACAGGCTCCCTTTCAGAAACACAAGACGCAGATGTTGAAGACAGGTTATTTACACCATTTGAACAAAACACTCTAGGAACAAGAATACATATTCTCCCATTATCAATCAAATCGGTAAAAAAAATTAAAATAGATCATTAGGCAAACCAAAAGCAACCAGACACTTGATCACTGTCGTAGTTTAAGCCCAGCCAGTAACCCAGAACCATGAAGCCGCTGGCTCACTCCCTCCTCCTCTTCCCCCTCCCACTCCCGGAGGGATGGGGAGAAAAACAGAATGAATATAAATCCAAGCGGCTAAGAACAGTCAGGCAAGTAAGGTATAACACAAAACCAGTACTGCTACCACCAATAATAAGGGAAATAACAAGGAGAGAGAATATAAAACTAAAAGGAGAAAGAAAGAAAACAATAAACACAAGTGATGCACAACACAACTGCTCATGACGTGCTGCCTGATTCCCATCCCAACCCCAGCAGCAATCTGGGCCTTCCAGGTGACTCTGCCCAGTTTATATACTGGGCATGACCTGCTGTGGTATGGAATACCACTTTGGCTAATTTGGGTCAGGTCTCATTTGCTTCTTGCCGGTTTCTTGTGCCCCTCCTCACTGGCAGAGCATGAGCCTGAAAAGTCCCTATCAGAATAAGCATTACTTTGAAACAACTAAAACATTGGTGCGTTAGCAGCGTTGTTCTCAGACTGAAGTCGAAAATACAGCACTGCACCAACTAATAAGGCTAAAAATAACTGTCACAACTGAGCCCAGGACAATCGCACAACGGGAGCTACTCCTACACTCACCTTTTTAATAGCCACGATTCGGTCGGTGTTCTTGTCCTTCGCTTTATATACGGTAGCAAACTAAGAGGAGAGAGACGCCAGCGTCACAGCCGGGCAGGTGAGCCGGCAACCGTGAGGCCTCCGCTGCAGAGCTCCTGGCGCTTTCCCTCAGGAGGCGGTCACGGAACTCTGCTGCGGCTCGCTGCCAGGAGACAACCTGCCTCTCCAGCCGCCTCGTCTCCCCCCCAACCCCACCTCAGCCCTACACGCCCGGCACCCCCAGCCTCACAGCGGGGCTGCCCCGTGCGGAAGGTGAGCCTCGGCTAGGCCTGCACGCAGCCGACGAGGCCCACTCGGTGCCGCCCGGCCCCGCACAGGCCGCTCACCTGCCCTTCCCCCAGGAAGTTCAACTTCTCGTAGCGTTTGGCTCGCTCACGCACATCCATGGTGGTGGCGGCGCCGGCTCCACACTGCGGGCCTTTAACTCCGACCGTTTCCGGCCCGCCAGACCCACCAGTCACAGTGACGGCCGCCCTAAGCCCCGCCCCCGCGAAGCGCGCAGCCAGTGGCTGCATACAGCGCTGCCGGAAGTGGGCTCCAGCTGCTGCCGGTCCCGCTTGCCCTACGGGCGCAGTGGAGGCCCGTATGGCACCCAGAAGCAGATGAGTAACGGGGGTTGCACTGAACATCCGTAACAGCGACCGAGCACAGACAGCGTCCTCTAGAGGGGCCAGATACCGCCGCTGTGCCGGAGCACTGTGCTCCCAACCCCAGGCCTCATGCTTGGTCACTGCCGAGAGCGGCTGCAATGGCTCAGCCACCCCTCAGACCACTGCAGCGTTCCCTCCCTACCCCCCAGAGTCGTTCCTGATGAGATGTCCCAGTCTTATGACGTAGCAAAACAGAATGCTTTAGTTATATGGTCAGGTGTGCAAATGGTTAATTAGGAAAGATTTTAACGGTCTTGAGATCAAGTATACTCAATGCTAGTCAGCCATCAACAGAAAACCCTCCTCAATCATAGACTGGTAATGTGTATTGTGTCAGCCTTCTCACCTGCCATATGAGAGTTTATTAAAGCTATTGGTATACAGTAATTTTTAATCTTAAAGGAAATGTCTTTATTGTGAATACAACACTTCACTCTCCAACAATGGCTCATGAACTATCTTCCATACTTATTCTGGACCTCCACGCTGTAAAAGAAAAGCAAGAGTTAAGTATATTCACTAAAAGGAAGGGAAATAGAGGTAAAATCTTTTACACTGTTACAGCTTAACATACAGTGTTCTAGTTTTAACTTCTGGTGTACATATCGATTTTTAATCTATATAAGAACATGCAGAGTGTCAAATACCTGCACCTACTGCTAACAGCTAATTTTTTTCTCAGGGGAGGATACAAAAAGATCAGCACATGCAACCTACAATTGCAGCTGCATCCACTTCTTCTCTGACTCGCTTTAGAAAGGTCTGGCGATCACAGCAGTAATAAACGTAACTTTTAAAATTATTTTCCAAACTAAAATTATTCCAACGTAAAACCAAAGCCAAAGTCAGCCAGTACAATATTTATGAGAAATCAGAGAGGTATTCCATTCATATTTTCCCCCCAAAATTATTTTATGATCTATCTCACTGTCAGAAAATTTATGCTAGAGGTCAAGGAGTGTATTATTATGGGAAGCAATTAATTTCTAATTATCATACTCTACCCACAAACACACGGGAAAAATGATTTAACCTACTAACATGGTTACACTGAGGGCATCTTTATCATTTAACAAAGCTATGGTAAGCTGCTTCTCACATCAAACTCACAACTATCTCACAATTTTTTCGTATTTTGTGCATTCTCCCTTTTTAAGCATCAGTGTTTGCAGTAGAGAACTGTTACAGAGCAGGTTTTCTTTCATGTACGATACCTTATTTGCAAATATTGCACAAAATATCCATATCAAGTTTAATGAAATGCTTCCACTACTAGAAATACAAGAGTTAACTTACTAACAAATAACTCATAAAAATTAGTTTGAGAAGCATTCTGGACTTAAAGCCTTCACTGGCTTAAGTATGGACTCCTGTCCTCCCATTCAGCACATTCAAATTACACACAAAACAGCTGCCACAAAAAAGCTGCAGTGAGGGTGATTAATGCAGGCTGTGACTATCACCAGGTATCTGCATGTCTGTTTTATGTCTGTATTTCTCTACTCAGAAATGCACAAGTTACTAATTAGTGAAAATTGGGTACCTTCAGGACTAAGAATTTGCAGGTTGGGTATTGTGCATCAAAGCCATGAAAGCTCAGAGCACACACACAGAAAGAATTACGAGGTAGTAAAATATCTGAAACTTTGAGAAAGGTGCAGAAGGAACCTAAATGCTACATACATACAGTCAACACACACTAATAAATGAAACTTACTTGAATATAGCCAATCTCTTCATCTGTCATAAGTTTCCTTCTGTATTTCTGAGGTAAGGTTCTTACTAACTCATAAGTGTCTGGTGTACCTTGTACTCTACTAACAGACGGTGGTGCTCTGCCTCCTACAGACTCCTGTGCTTTTGAAGCATGAACAGATGGCACACTTGCTGGTGAGGATTCCTGTACTGAAACCCAAATTGCAAAACCATTTACAGAAATGTAACAACGCTGTAAAATTAATTAATGGGCAGCAAATAAAAATTACCTGTTACTAAGTCACCTTCATTGTAACAAATACTTAAAAGATTTAGACATTCTACTTCTCACAGTATGTTTTTATTTTTGTTATCTGTATCAAGAGCATAGTGAAAAAATTCTGACAGTAGGAGAAAGCATATTGAAGTGGCAGAAATACTGATTCAGGAATAGAAGATAAATCAGCATATATCCTAACAGGCTTCTTCACTGGGAAGCTGTACTTATCAAAAAAACATAAAGTGTGTGGAGGCAATTAGGTAGAAAGATAACCAAGATCCACTGAGATGATGTTTTTTGTTTACTGCGACTGTAAAGTCAGACGACTGAAATAAAGGTAGAGAGTTGTGAGCTTTATCTTTCTGTAAAAAAGATGGAGCTCACAACCACAACATACCACAACATGCAATGCGGTGTTGTACCCTTTTCTAACATATGACATCCTATCAAATTTTGTTAATGATGTGCAGAATGACCACCAAATACCAGGTATCAACAATCAAGTGTTAATGAATGCAAGGAGTACATAAAGCACTGCACAGGTGAGGGCGAGGAGCTAGGCTTAGGGAATTCACGTTAAAGAATTTGTCTTGATTTTGAAGATAGGAAAAGAGATGATAAAAGGGCAGCATTGTCCAAGTCAGCACCAGAAACCTTAGGTCTGTCCCACCATGGTTGATTGTAACACAGAAATACGCAATTACCCCACCTCGCAGGATGGAGTCTCACAGCAGTATGCTTACTTCATAAACACACAGAGCAGTACATGTAAGGTTAAAACACCTGATAAAGTAGAAAGCTTCCATGGGAAGTCCCTCTCAGCACTCCTGAAAAATGAGCCAGACAAATGCAACATCTAAACAGCTGGGAGGGTGGGCCTATATATGCAGCATCAAGACTAGATGAGTCAGAGAATGCAAGGAGTTAAAATACCACAGTGCTGCCTGCCTCAATCCCTCCTGTCTCTAACAAGGCCAGTGAGGACGCAAGAGAGGAGAGAGTTTTAGTCATAGTGGGCTTGAGTCAGTGGCAGGATTGGGGCATCAAACACCTGTGGCTATGTGATTGAACCACTACTGGTTTAAAATAAACATAAAAAAAAAAGTCACCCCTGAGAGGCATATTCAGAAGTTCTTTGTCAGAGGACTGTATTTGAAAATCCCAGGTTGATCAGGTGGTTCAGGAACAATGGAAGGTCCCAAAAAGCATGGCGGATGAAAGCCCATCAGAAGGTGCATACTTTGAACAGGGGCAAAGTACTTTCGTTTCAAGAAATAATGCATCTTATATAAGAAAAAAACCGCAAGAAACAGTTTCTCCAAATTTGTTCCACACACCACAAAAACGTCTAGAGACTTGCCAAGGACTTTCCTCCATTGTATGTTTCAGTCTGAAGTGCAGTTGGAGTAGATGCATTAGCCAATTAAAAAGTATGAGAGGACAAGTCTCAAAACTACCAGACTTGACACTGCTGTTGCTTTAGCTCAGTCACTACTACATCTTCCCCTTCCCTGTTTGAGGTCATCATGTTGCAGGAGTAACACAGTAACAATTTTGTTGCCCTTTCAAGTACCCAGGCCCTAAAAGTTCAATCTCTATCTACAAAGCTGTGTTTGGCTATGTAGAAGCAACAGGCTGGTACATTGAAATGCAGTTATTGCTACAGCATTCAAGCAAAATGAGGTAGACTGCAATTTACCAGTGAGATGACAGAACATGGTTAAGGTAGAAAAGTCTAACATACTCAAAAGATATGCCACAAAAATCCTCTGATGCCGACATAAACAGGAGGTAAGCAACACATTTTCAAGCCTCTTTTGAGACAGCAGTTCATTGGCATGAGAGGTGGTGTATTTGGCTGAGCTGTGCACAACATACAGAATTCTGACAAAGCTATTGCAGAAAAAAGTTCCTAGAGAGTTTTGATGTGCACTGTAGATGTTTTGGAATGTTAATGAATAAACTAAAGCTAAGTCACGAATGTGATAATGCTGTGGCAAGTATTGTAGTGTGGTACCATTCATACAGAAGTGAGAGGTTCTGTATAAGAGAGGCTCCTTCAGATGCCTCCTACTTTAGTTTCAAATGCTTTGCTGGCTGCAAAGGAGTATTACACCAAATTATCACTCATGTAACTTTAATGTTTAAATATAACAGTATTTGAAATCCTGTAAGTATCAACATAGATGAAGTTATAAAAAATAATAGCAAAGATTTCAATTAATTTTTTTTCTCAGCATTAATTAGTAGCACAAGGAAATACTTTTCAAAATGTACAGCTATAATCACGGTTTTAAATACTGCAGACAGCACACACCCCGACTAGAAAAGATGAGGAAAATGCAACGTAATTTCTGCAAATACAAACTGACTTGGGCATAATCCTTTCAGGCAAATATTAGTATTTGGAAAAATGTGATTCTTCCTGAATCTGCCTTGACCAAGAAATAAAGTCATGCATGTTATTATGTGTATTCCCACGTACAGTCTGAAGAGTCAAAGAGCTACACCTTCAACTAAAACAACCATGTTTCAGAAACTGCTTAAAATCAGTTGACTTGCATTGCTGAAACAGAAAAACTGTGTGCCAATTCTTAAATAAAATAGTTAATGCAAAAAAAAAAAACAAAACAAAAAAAACGTGGTGCAGATTGAACCTACAGTTGAAATACTTACTTTTAGGTCTGGGACCACTCAGTCTGTCAGGGAACTTAATTAACGGAGTATGTGGCTTTACTACCTAGAACAAGGCAAGGTATGGGAGAAACGACAGTAAAATATATTTCTAGACACACATTACCTCTACAATAGTAAAATAGCACATACAATGTATTACACAACCACCTCTATCCTTCTGCTTTCTGCACCACCACTGATACTACATATTTAAATTCTGTATTTACCCCAGGAGAAGTGTCAATTTTAAAAGTATTCCTCCACCCTAATATCCAGAGCAGGAACAAGCATTCTCTTCCTTTTCACACTGCAGTCTGTGTGTGTGCAAAAACTGCTACCGCGGCCGCACAAATTCGAACTTTCAGAACATGGACTTATTAGCTGTGCTCTGTCTGTAGGTTTGTTCATCTGGCTGGACAAAACTGACTACCTCCATTAAAAAAAGACAAACCTGTAAATTATAAAGCTTGTAGCCGAAGCCACACTGCTTATTCTTAAAACATGTCTTCTCAAGAACACTCCACGTCTCACCTTCACCTTGAAGAAGGATGGTTTAGAAAGGAGCTGCCGGCTAGCCCCCTCCCCTCCCGCACACTGCACCACATGGTGCCGGCTGCTCCACAGCAGCCTTCGGAAACACAACCCAGCACCAACAACTAGCGGGCCCTGCCGCTTGTCTCTCCCACGGCGCCAAGGACACCAGCCTCCCCGAGACTCCTCAGGCGCTGGTCGCCCCAGGCCTCAAGGCAACTCACGAAACGAAGCCCGCCTCAGAGCAGAGACGGGCTTCCGGCCCCAATCACCCCTTCCGCGGCCCCCGTTACCGAGCGCTGCTACCTGAACGACCCTGGCTGCTGCCGCCATCTTACTGCCCATGATCGACCCCTCGCCACCGCGCCCCGCCGCCGGCTTCTGAGAAGCGGCGCCGGGCCCCGCCCACAGCGACTGAGGCTCCGCCCACAGCCAGCCTGTGCCCGGGCGTAGGCCTGTGTCGAAGTATAAAGCAAACCTCCTTTCACAGTGTTGACAGAAACAGCGTGTTATCTTTGCTGCATGAGAACACGTCCCGCCCATCCTCCGAAAACTTAAAAATCACAAAGTTAAAAGCGACAGTCTTTTAATATTACATGCTATGATGCGCTCAGTTTGTCAAGCATAAAACAAAGACGAGGGTTATTCAGTGAAAAAGTCAAAATAGCGCTTAACACGAAGTCATCCCTTTGCCCGCGCTTTGCCTAGCATTCACACATTTTGCTACGTGGGATGGCAGGCACGGACTGTATCCAACGCTGGAAACTGGGCTGTAACTAAGCAGCACATAGCACAGTCACAAGTGGTTGCTATGAGCAGAAAACGCTCATTGTAAAATTGAACATACATGAAGATTTAAACCACATTCATTAACACTTTAATAACAAAAAAAAAAAAATAAACCCCAAAGATTCGACTTCATCTTCCAGTTTGGACTTTACACAGGGGTTGGGTTAAGCTGATTTTTACACAAAACCTTGAAATGTATCAATTCTTCTTCTTTTTAACTTGGGAGAGTATCGCTATGAATGGTCTTTTCAGATAGTTTTATCAGCCATGGTTCCTGTTCAAACATTTGCTGTATACCTGGAACTAAATTTCACTTCAAAGAGTTGTATGACTACATTTTCAGTCTCTTCAGTGAACAGACACTCCCAGAACGGTTAAATTGTGTTTTCATAATGGGTATTAATTTATCAAATTTAGGAGACTGAGTATGTACACTACATTAAAAAATTAAAGACCATGTCTCCCAAATCAGATTATATTTTCAAGCTGTAGAACAAGTGCCTTTAAAGATGGATCTTCTGCCCAGTTGACTCTGCTTCCAATTATGATGCACTGTAAGAAAGGAAGATTGGTTAAAAAAAAAAAAAAGCCATGAAAAATGATTATTCCCACTAAATTCTCTCAAAATTCTGATTTTTAATTTTTAATTTGGAAGCCCTTTGAATTCACAGCAGTATTTGAAGTAGGTAGGATGGGGCAAAGAGGAAAAGTAATTTAGATCCTATGGCCAATGCATAGGTAAAAAGTAAGTGGTGCTTCGAACTCCCCAGAGGTGCTTGCACACTATCCGTATTTTAAACATAGGAATTTAGAGGATTTGTTAGTTAACACAAAGTTTGCCTCAAACATAAGATACCACAGTTGACATTTTCACCCTGCAATTCTGGGCTAAAAGGGGTATTATTAAAGTTAACCAATAAAAGATTCACTCTACTTATGGCTCAGAAGATCTCAGGAATACAAAACCAGGAGATCTAATCTAAACCCCGCTGTTTAATTTCTTGTTCTCAGTCTGAGATGTAACCTTGTTATCAACGCAAGCTAGTAGTAGATGGCATGCAACACAAAACCATCTGACTCGCTTTTCTGTCTTTGAAATTCTGATCACTCAAATTCACAGTGTGATTATATCCTGTCTTTACCTGAAGTCCCTCACTATGTCCTCTCCCTTCCCCATTTTAAATCTTTTAAACAAACTTGTGCATGCTTAACTGGGATTTCATAACCTGTTTGCAGATAAACTCAAGAGCACCCCAGTTACAATTTACTGTGTAATTTCAGTGTGCTTCCCATCTTTGTACCTAGGTCACTAATCCGTGTGGCTAGGCAAAGGAAACCGGGACAAGTCACACAGTGAGAGGCACAGTTCCTGACTGTACCACAGCATATGTGACCTTTAGTGAAGTGTCCATCTGAGCACAGGATGCTCCAGGAGGCCCCTCCACCCTATACCAAACCATGAGCTTTTCTTCCTCACTTTGTGTGTCTCCACACTCCAGAAGACCTGCCAGCCAGCTACATGGATTCAGGCTAGTCTGAAGCACCTGATACCAAACGGGTAACCAAAAGACACCACAGAAAGTTACTGGAGATGGACCATGGGTGCAGGCCAAGGCTTTCACAAGGCTGCAGTGGGCAACACAGAGAAAGCATATGTGGTCAGAAGGGCAGAGTGGAGAGCAGCAGCCTGGCTCAGTGGCACCACAGGATTAAGCCCTACCTATTTTTCCTAACCCTGAGATAGGGGAACTGATTTGGGTGGGGTGTAAGTGTGACTTCTGACTTTCAGTATAAGGAAATATAGCCACTGCTTTAACAATCATTCTTTGAGAAAATGTATTGTTTTTATACCTTTAAGGGACTAAAAGAGTAAGACAGATTGATAGACTGTCTTGAAATTCCACAAATAATTATAAAAAAAAAAATAAATCTGTGACAATTTCATGCTTGCAACCTTTAAAACAATAGTTTTCCTTTCATATAGTAGTTTTTCCATTACTATTGTTAAAGTCATTGGAAAACAGAATGTTGCCCAAAGTTATGTTTACTGGACACTGTATTACTGTAACTGTAATGTGAAACTGCACTCTGGCTTTTAAAAGCTGAAACATCTTACCTGCAATACATTTTGAATTACTGAAGTTATCTTTCTCTCTTTCTCGTAGGCAGCATGCATCTCCTCCAGCATTTTCACCTCCCCAGTTGTTTGTTTCACCTTTAGTTTGCTCCTCATGTCATGGATGTGCATCAGTTTCTCTCTCCCGACTTCTTTTAGTACTTTTTCCATTATAAGGAAAATTAAGTGTTAATGAGTAGTAAGGTGATCAGCAGAACTAAAGATCTGCTTTTTATCTCACAAGATATCTAAGGCAATCCCACTGCGATACCCTTAACTTCACACTCCATCTTCTCCCAGTATATATCAAGAAATTCCTTTCACGTAAGAGGCAACATGTCCTGTGGGTACCTGGTATCAAAGTACACTGATTGTTTCCCTGGCTGCTAGCAAAACAGAAAGTACTTTGTACACTGTCTTTTATTTTCATCAGACACAGACTGTAATTCGACTATCTGTTCTATATCTCACCTACAGTTGTCACAATTTTCATAGTCAGATATTTAAGATCTTTCCCCCTTTTTCAGATTTGACTGAAAACAAATTCTAAAGTTGTACAAGAGGTATGTGTACCACATCAATGAATATTACTAGTGTTCTATAGGAAGCAGGCTAAAAAATAGACTGAATAAAGCTATTTAGAGGTGGTTCTTACATTGAAAGAATGCTGACACAGCATTTCTCCCCTTATTTCTGAGGATATTAGGGGTGTTCACATTTTCTAAAAAGACAGATACTTCCTTGCATTAATTTCATTACTGTCAACATACACACCACTCTGTATGCATGAAACACAGTAACTCTTAAAACTGTTGGCAAATGTGGTCATATGACAGAAGGTACAATCAAGAAAATAGATTCTAAAGATTGACTGCATCTAAATTTGATGCACTCTAACAAGCCTACTGAATACCAACATATGTACAAAGGTTCTTTGCAAGTAAATCCCATCCCCTATTCTGCAAACATTTCATAAAGGTGCAATCTGCCAAAAAAAGGTACTTTAGATATTGATTTAAATTACTAGAAGATCTGTAATTTTCTGGGGAGCTTACACTAATAATAAAACACCACCACATTCTTTGACAATTTTCTGTGTCTCCCATTCTAATGGTCAGTCTCATGCTCAAGTAGACAAAACAGCAGCTCATTCTTGCAGTAATTCCTACTCTTTTCAGAAGCTTTATAACCATGTTGAGAGTCTGGTAGTTACTTCAGATGTAAATTAATATTGATACAAGAACCTTAAAACATGAACTGTACATTCAAAGAAAATCAGTATAGCTAACATGCTTACAAAGTCTTTGCTTTTGAATTTCAGCCACTTTCTGTTCCTTTTCACGTGCTTGCTAGAAAAAAAGGAAAAAAAAATATTTGTTAGACTCCTGGCTCCAAAGTATTCTGAAAAATGCTAACTCCAATCACAAAAGCAGTTAAGGGCAGCTCTAGAAACAGACTTTCTTACATACTCATTTTCAGTAATAATTTCAGTAATTTCAGCACCAGTAGGCACTGCACATTTTGGGCCACACATTTAGCTTCAAAGGACTTGTGAAATCTTAATACTTTCAAATTGCGTTTGTGCCCATCATGTTGACCTGAACAACTGCAATAGAAGCTATGACTGCCACCTACCTGCTGATATGCAACTATTGCCTCGCTGAGCCTTACTATGTCGTGCAGAGTATCCAGAATCAGCCTAAGGAAGGAACACAGCTGCATACATTAAGAGTATTAATGAGTCAACAGCATAAATGTTTTAATCAAGGTTATCTGAATTAAACAAAAAAATCCCCAATCCCCTCCCCCCCCCCCCCCCAACTGCATTGTTGTAGGAGCCAAACAGCCTCCTTGATTTCCCTGTTTCAGTTAAGTCTAACATTTCAAATCACAGAGCTTGAAAGGCATCACAGAAGCCTAGCCACTTGAGAATGGCTAACTGAAGTTCCTGAATTCTGGGATGGGGCAGGGACATCATGACGATGCAATGTTTTCAGCTGCATTTCTGACAGAAGTTAAATTTCTTATATTATGCTTCACATGTGTGCACCTGTTCCTATTGGGCAGGAAATTAAAAGCTGATTCTAAATATGTTCAAAATTTTCTGTCCTTTTTCAAGGACATTAAACTTCTACACAACAAATTAATGAAGGCAGGAAAGCAGCGCCAAGGCCGTGTTACAAGCCTGTAATATGTGCTCAGCTATTATAAACGCAGGTAACTCATGTATCAAAGGCAAAAAACTCTTCACTACAAACAGCTCTCGTTAGTGAATAAAAAATTATGATCTCTGTAACCAAAGATTGGTTAGCTCAGATGTAAATCTACCCTGGGTGTAAGAGTTCTGATCATGGAGATTCCAGCCAGAAGGTGGATGGTATATCATTCAGCCAGAACTAGAAGAAAGAAGCTTGCTTTTTAAAAAAAGTACAATGCAGTAATGTAGAAGTGTGTCAGAGAAAACTGTGTAAAGACCATTCCTTTCCAGCCATCCTTTTCCCAAGAACACCTTACTGTGAGTCGTCGTCCCTTTGCTTCATTTTGTCTGTCAGGGCAGCCGTAACCTGCATCCTGCACAGCATGGGGAAAAAATAAAACTGATGAGAACTGACACGAAACTGGGAGAAATAGACTGAGACAAGTAACAGAAAACGTATTTCCTAGGTTCCATTTATAGCTACTTTAATACTGGAATTATACATATAAAATTCTCAGTACCTTTTAAATATCATGCTTCTTAAATAAAGGGGCTTAACCCTCAGGACAAAAAAAGTGTACCTATGATTAGTGGTGAGTGGCAACTCCCTTCTCTCTTGCAAACTCACCAAGAAACCATTAATCCCAGAATCTGTGGAAGGTAAGCTGGGCAAAGGTGGGAATTCAAATGAACAGCCATGCAACACAGGAGATATACAGTATTTATCTTATCAACTACCTTTCCATAAGAATTTGTAAAGTGCAGACTAGAAATATGTTTACCGATTCATACTGTCAGACTTCCACAGTTTTGCAGAAATCTTTGAGTTTACACATTTCAACTTGATTCCTCCTTCCTCCTCTTTCCCCCCAGTATCTCCAATTGTATTCCTACTGGTTCAATGTTATTAAAAATCACTCATGTTTGCACCACACCCTATATCACTTTGGAATCCTGTTTTTAATCACAATTTTATAAATGTGCATGTGTGTATGCACAAACAGAAAACCTCCAAATAAACAGGAAGAAAATTCTACCTTTGCAAGGCTAATGTCTTGCTCCAGAAAGAGACATTTTCTTTCTCAATGCCTTTTTTATAATCTTCTATGACACTGAAGGAGAAAAAAAAACAACAAACAACCCAAAACTAAACACACACACAAAACCACCCCCCCACCCCAGAAAACAGAATCCTTAACACTTTGAAGATATCAAAAAAATTTAAAAGCAGTGTCACAACTTTAACTTGCTCTCTTAAGTGTCTAAAGATTTTTTCCTGTAAACCACAAATTATTAAGGCTAGGAGTCTTTTAGCATGCTCAACTTATATTAGTGCACTCTACCCATCTGCAAAGAGCACTGCAAATTTAGAAGCCACATCAGATACAAAACTACATCAGCAGACTGAGCAGAATATTTCTCCCCCCATACTTTCTCATAATTTCCTTTATTTTCACCAGACTTCTGCAAAGTAATGATGGTTAATCCAGAGATTTACTATGCAGCAGTAGATAGCTAGAATCTTCAAACTCAGTTCTTAGCCCTTCTCTTCACTTAAAATACATCAAAAGTTTTAAGCTATCCAATAACATACTTCCGCACAGACTTTTCCTTGCCAGCAGGACAAGAGTCAGCTGCTTTACCTGCAAAGACAGAATGTTAATAAAAAAGGCACGACAGAGATTTTTAAATGCAATCGACAGAGATTTTTAAATGCAATCTACAGAGCATAAAACAGCCTGATAACTGTATTAACAAAGTATTAATTCTCCCTCCACACCTTATCATATCTTCCACTATTAGTGAGCTATATGGCAGAAATTACTAAGCTTTACTATATTTCCATTTAGCGCTTTTTAGACATCACAAAGCTGGCTAGCAGCACTGCTCTGTCTGTGCAGCCTGGCTGGTTCAGTGGAAGAAGATACAGGCAACGGAAACACGATGGGAACAAGAAAAAACGCCTTAAGTCAGTATTGCTGCCAAGCACTTAAGCACACTTAAATTATCATCGCTTGTCTGAGTGTCAGAGAAGGCGAAAGTGGAAACCGAAGGGGAGAAAGAGCAATGGGCAATAACCAGATGGCAGCTTTATAAGCATTTAAAGATGACTCCAACAGCAGTCCAGAAACTGAAGTCCAATATTCGGCCAAGAAAAACATTTCATTGTTGTAATGAACACTTCTGATAACTTCAAAACATTTACGCTTATTACAACGTTACGTTCAAGGAAGGCAGAGGGGACTGCTGGAGGAAGCCAGCGCAGGGGTAAGCTCACCGGTGTCAGCTACAGCGCTGCACTCAAAGAACTGCTGCTTCAGCTGGTCCTTCAGGCTGCAGCAGAAAGACAATGGTCAGGCCCCGCGCCGCGGCCCCGAGCAGCAGGCGCCAAAGAGGCCCCGCAGCAGCACCCGGCCCCCAGCACTGACCGAAGCAAAAAGCAAACGTCAACCGAGTCTAGGCTCTGCTCCTCGTCCTCCGGGTCCTCCGGCGGCTGCTGCTGCTGCTCCTGCTCCACCGCCGCCATTACTACCCTACGTAAACGACCCGCGCTGTGTTCCACGATGCGCGGGTCAGGATCACCCAGCAGCCCGCGCGCGGCGGCGGGCGGGGCGGGCCCTGGAAGAGCGCTTGCTGCTCCCGAGGGGCTGGTTCGGTAAAACGCGAGCGCCGTAGCGGAGCACAACACAGGCAAAGCCCAGGTAACAGCCTCGGACCCGTTTTCTCCTTCAGGAAGCTACACAGTTAACATAAGTATACTACAGTAAATAAATACTGCGATAACAGAGCTATACTGACACTCCAGTAGTGCAGAAGCCACATCAGCCTCTGCAGCCGAGCCAGGGCTCACCCACCCCAACGCTGCTCACAGCCTCCTCCACACTGCCTCAGCAGTAGGCGATGTTACCTGGGCGACTGAAAAAAACCCCACACACAGAAGAAAATGAAATGCTTTATTGAAGATCCCAAAGTATAAACAAAATACATAATAAAAAAGGGTTTATAAAAACAATGTTGGCACTGACTTCGCATAGGAGTTAAAGCTTTTTAGTCACAGCCAGGGCTAGATTCCAGATGGCATATGAGTTCAGCTGTTCAATGGTGCTTATATTGATGGTTTTAGAGCTGGCGTATTTTTTCTTGATTGCCTGCAGAAGTAAGTTTGATTCAGTTTACCCTGTTCATAAACTTACACTATTCCAGCTTTCCCAAGCCTTTGATGGTCAAGCCAAACCCATCCTGGCACACACACCCGGTTCATGGCTGGCTCACACCACTTCGGCAAGAGCTTCAGCTGAAGTCTGACAACAGTAGCACAGCTAAGCCAGCCTCAGAGCACGACATATTCCCCACACATACTCCCCAACTGTACCACACATACTTTTCACCTGCACCACGAGATTCTTACCATCTGCTTGGTGGTAGCCTTATTCACAAGAACTACATTCTTTGCTATGTGTCGCATAACTGGGAGGAGGTCACTCTCGGTGTAAGATGTGTGGCACTGTAGAGCTTCTGTCTGAAAGGAAGGGAAATCATCAAATAACCTTACCAGAGCAACCCAAGTACACTGGTTTATTTATCTTCTCTTGGGCAGTTGTGGTCTCCTGCCTGCCAGAGGATGGTTAACAAATACTGCCCCTTTTTAATAAGTCATTGAGAGACAAGCAAATACTGAAATACCACAAGGAAGCAGAGGGTGGATACTTGGCCTTTTAAGCTGGTGCAGAGGCACAGCAGGTCCCAAACTAGGTGGTCTGACAAGCATAACTTACCCACTCACATCCCTGGAGAAGTTTCAGAGACAAACACAAAGCAGCTGCTGCAGTCTTGGATGGGGGGAAATGAACCATATCATAGTCCAGAATGGTCAACTCCATCAGGTATTCAGCCAGAACACGCTGTCTTGTGTTTACCTACAGAGAGAGGGTCGAGTATTGACTACCTCCGAGGCAATCATGTCAAACCTTTGTTTAATCAAGCAGGAAGAAATACTTCCTTAGCAAGTGTTTTGAGAGCTAGGGGCTTGAGACTTAAGTGGCTTAATAGCAGAGCAGTTCTGAGCTGTATTAGGCTGCTTAGTCTAAGACCACTCCTTTCAATAGCAGTTATCTGCAGTATCAGGCAGATTGTTTAACTGTGATTTGGGTGGGTTAGGCTCATGTGACTGAAAGCAAGCAAGACCTGTTTCTACATGGCACACAGGCCTTAACCAGGCTTAGGTGCTAAACTTTTGTAATACTCAAGTCTTGAACCTTTTAAACAACCTGCCACAATTGAGAATGGCATTTTCCAGATGCTGCTTATATCAACATGTGTTCTCAGCTATACCTTTGCAACTTCTAAAGCCATAGTTAGGAACTGTGAAGCTAGGGGACAACTCAGATGAAAGTCCAGGGCTTGCAGGATCTGAACCTCCATCTGGATGATTTGGCTGGTTGTATAAGTGTTATCGGTTATATAGGCAAAGTTTGCAGTATGGAAGTGATACATCTCTTCGTATTTGCTGGCAATGAACATAGCTGTGACACCAACCAGCTGCAGCATCTTCTTAGAAACAGCATTGTCCTGTAGGAAGAAGCAGTAGAGATTTATATGAATCATAGGCCTGAGCTCAGAACACAATGTAGCCTGTGTAAAATTTGTTCAATGGCAGGATGTTCATACTTGCATATACAGAGTAACCGTACATCATCTCTTGCAGTCATCTGCAAGGGTATTGGAAGGCTTTGAGATCAAACTGGGTAGAAGAGTAAGCAGCTTTGATACACCAAATCCCTCTTCACACCTGAGGGAGTTATGTGGTGCATACAATTCAACATCAAAGGCCCTTTGTTGATCAGCTGTATTTTGTTACGGGTTACATGTCTATGATGGTATTACAGATCAGTGCTGCCTGTGCTTTTGCTTAGGGAAGAAGAAACTTCCTGACACATGGCAGAGGTACTCACCTGCAGGAAGTAATCTATGATGGCAACTGTCAAGTACAAGGTATCCTGCTGGAGTTTGAACGTTATCTGTACTTGCACAAGCCAGTCTATTAGTACAGCACGCATTTTCCCACTGATTTCTTGCCCAGTCAGGTATTTGGGTCTGATAGCTCGATTTTCCTGTGTGGAAGGAATAGGGTTAATAAATCTCATCACTTAGCTACAGCATTGCAATGTCTAGCCTCTGTAGCATCTTATGGCTTATCAGAGCTCAGTAAAGGCAAAACCTACAGGTATAGGCCACAGGGTTTCCTTGTTTACTAGAGATGGGCTAGAAAAGAGCATGGTATTAGTACTACTAGATGATTCATCTAACAACCAGTGTCTGTTTATGTAATCAGCTCAGTTTAATTTTCCATTTTAAGCTGGGGGACCCCTTACTAGTGCCTCAGGAAAATTCATAGGTGAAAGTGAATACCAGCTCCAAACCACACCTACAACAGGTTCAGTGTGTCAGGAGATGCCCCCTGAGCTCTGACCTACTCCTACCAACCTCAAGCTCTCTCAGATACTGGTAGATGTCCTTTGCATAGTCATGGCAGTACTCTGGGTCGTTATCATCTTCAGCAACTACATTTTCCGCATGAAGCAAGTCACGAGAACAAGATGGACGCGTCACATCATCTGATGGTGCACATGCAGGTATTTCCGTGGGGATTTGGGAATGAGGCTCCAGCTGCAAGGAAATTCGGGATCAGCCCAGGCCAGACTTCCCTCCTCAGCCCAGTGCGGGCCAGGCGAAGGAAAGCTCCTGTGGGGTGAGCTGCACCCAGCAAGACACTGAGCTGCTCACGACCTCTATCCGAGGGCACGACTGAAGGCCCCTGCTCAGCACGGCCCCACCACATACCCAGGTGTGGCAGAGGGTGCAAGGCCCCGGCCCGTACCTGCTGTGGCTGGGGTTCTGGCTTTGGCTTCGGGCCTGTTGGCGGCACCCTCTTCATGGCAGTGGCTCTCCCCTTCCTCCTGACAACTTGGTTCGCCTTGGTACTAGAATCCACGGGTATGCCGTCCGGCTCCCGCCGGCCGCCTCCACGCAGCGCAGCGTTTCTGGTAGTACCCTGTGCCTTTGGCTTGGTGACACGGTTGCCGATGTCCACCAGCGCCGTGCGGGAACACAGCCTTATACTGTGGCCCGCCAATGCGGGTCTGCTGAGGACAGGCAGCCTGGTGCCTCTGCCTGGCTGCTGGGTGTGCTGCGGGAAGAGAGGGAGCCGGGCGGTCAGCGGCACCGGGCCGCGCCCCTCCAGCGGGAACGGGGGAGAGGAAAGAGGGGCTGCACGGCTACACCCCCGGAGAGTCGGGGGAGAGGGATCCGGGGAATGCTGCACGCGCCGCGCTGTCCGCCTGCCCCCACCCCGAAACAGGTGTGTCCGGAGAAGAGCCGCGGGAGGGCTGCAGTGGTACACGAGCTCACACCCACGAAACAGGAGGGCTACAGAGGTACACGAGCTCACACCCACGAAACAGGAGGGCTACAGACGTGACTCCCGGGAGCAGTGCGACTGCTCTTGAGAGCTGAAGGGGAATCCGGGAGGACGAAGGGAGTACCCAAGGAGAAGCGTGAGCCCCACACCTCCACCCTCCCCGCTCACAGGGAACTAGGGCGCGCGGAAGAGCTCAGGAGGGCTGCCCCGCACCTGCCCGCGAGCCCACAGAGCTTCGGGGCGCAGGGAGGAGAAGGCGGCAGCAAGACACGGAGGACCGCCACCCCCGCATGAGAAGAGAGTGGGCACCTAGCCACCCAACCGTGTACAGCCGGGCCCGTCCTGTCCTTACCCGAGAAACCATCTGCGACATGGTAGGGCAGCGGCGCGAAGCGCAGAGCAAAGCAATCCGAGGAACGGAGATTGGAACACGGAGATAAGCAAAGCTCCCGGCCGCCGCGGCCTATTTATAGAACCCATCCGCCTCCTCCTATTGGCTGTCGGCGGTCCCGCCTCAGAGCGTTCTTGTGGCGATCGGCGCCGGACACTGGCGTCCAGCGTGTTAGAGCCTGGGCGGACGGGGGTCTCCTTGTGCCGAGGTTGGGCCCCCCCCCCGCCCTTGGGTGCAGCGGTGAGCGCCTGGAGGCGGCTCGCACCGTGTCTCGGTGTCCTGCCGCAGGCCGGCACTGGCACTGGCCGGAGGCGAGCCAGACCGTGGCATTCATACCGGCGGGTTCTTGCCGCGCTGTGTACGTCCCGCCTCACGTTTTAACCAGAAACGCCAAAGTGCACTGCATAAACCGGTATTGAAAACTACATTTATTCTTTCCTCATTACATGTACACAGATCACTTACTGCCAGTTTGTTGTAAATCTTTGAAAGTGTTCTGTTGCCTCTGTCTGCACACAAACAACTGACTACCCGGAATGCTCCCCCACCACATCGTTTATTAACCATGTACATCAGTTGGCCCATACTGGTGATTTGAAAACCTGTCCTTACAGCACAGCTCCAATACATCTCATGGGGGGAAAGCCTAAACCCTTTTTTTGGAGGTTTACTGCCAGATACAGGCTCTTTTCAAACAAATTTAAGATAGACAATGTTCGTTGCTGTTGTCTTTCTGTCAGGATAGCAGGAAAACTGCTGTGCATGTGCTGGGGTCACATGGGAAGAGCTACCAAATGCAAGTGAAGATGCAGGTTTTTGCTTGCCTGTGAAGTAGCCAGGCATGAGCTGATCTTCACTGCTGTCATCATCCAGTGAGGTCCTAGCCACCTTCATTTGCTTGTAATCCTCCTGCTAGCAGCTGAAGTGTGCAATCAGCATTTGCTCAGAGAAGCTGTGTTAAGCATTAAGGCTTTTCAGTGATGTGACACTAACTTGATTTGAAAAAGGAAGAATCTGAAAAAGGTAGGAAGAAACCACCTACCTATCCCCACAGAGCTACTGCTGGGTTTGTTGAAATGCTGGCAGCTCCAGTCCAGCCATGGCAGCAAACACCAGTGGCACATGTAAATAGTAACTGAAGCTTTTTGTTTGAGAATGGTTTTCAAAGCAAAGGGATCACCCTGCTTACAGGATGAATGTAATTGCAGCACTGTTATTCAAGTGACCCGGGCCTTCTGGAGGAAGTGATGTGAGAAAACCACTGCCAAAGGCAAGAACTGGAAGAAAACAGGATCAAGTTTTGGGCAGTCTGCTGGTTCTGCAACACAAGCCTGAGAAATGAGGGACTGTGATCTATGCGAAGTTCTTCACTACATGCAAAAGCAATGCAACTTCCAGAAACATTCTGAGCAGTTTTTCGTGGGTCCTGTACTGCAGTCATTGTTTAACACAGCACCGGAGGGAGAGAATGGATTGTAAACTTGTTTGTGTAGGAGTCACAGAAGAAACTACACTGTCTGTGTAAACAAGAGCAGACGAATTGCTCAAGGACATTCTGAACTGCGCTGCTGGTGGGTCTGATCATGTAATTCCTACATCAGTCTACCCTTGAATTTCACTAACATGAAGTCTGGCCTTTATAACAATACTCAGGTGCTGATCAGTATATCAGTAATATAGATTTATACCAGAACAAGAAAACAGTATGACAAAGTAAGGCTGCTGTGACACATGGGTGAAAGATGTACTCATTCTCACTAACCACTGAACTGACTTGCTGAATTCCACAGGAAATATTTAAGGGCTTCAGACAAGAAGGGGGCACAGGAAGACTGTAAACATGTAAGGGGAACTACTTCTGAAGACTGGTTATTACCCTGTTGACAGGTTTTCACTAAAGACAGAGATTTGTTTTCTTCACAGTATGAAGACCCCAACACACATTATTTTTTCTTAAACACACTCTTTCTCTTTTGAGGCAAAAAGTCTGAATTTACAGGTTGTTTCTGCAACCTGTCAAGCCCCAGACTGTCACAGCTCACCATTCCAAACCTGAACTGCTTCCTTTGGTAATACTTGAAGGTACATCTGGCTACAGGACATCTGCAGCTCTGCTACAGTATTATAAAAAAATCAAGTCAACACAGTAATGTATGTTGAAGAGGTGAAGTTCAGGTGAGTGCTAGGATGGTCACCAATTAATTACTTTATTCTTGAACTGTTGCATTTGCAGTTTTTCAAAGAAAAAGTACAAAAAAATTGTTTGACAGGGTTTTTTTTTTGATTCTGAGTCTTCTCAGGAAACAGAAAAGTGTCTGCAACTTTCTCCCCTCCCAATTTCTCACTGTTAACCTGTGGATTTCTTTCCTTAAAAAACATAATTTGATATAAATTTTCAATGGTAACACCTATTTGTTCACTAAAATTAAGTTAGAAATCAGATCTGTTTGCCAAAATGTAACATAAAAACTGTATTTATATTATCTAACAAAGACTGCAAAACACATGACTTCACGTTGTTTTTTACTCCCCATAAAAAACATTCTGTTTTTCAGCCAGTCTTCAAGCTATGTCTGCATTCTAATATAAATTATTTCCATTTCCCACTACCAATATGAAATGATAATCATGATGTTCCATACTTTAGACAAAGTATGGAATATATCCCTGCTCATCCACAAGTTTCAAGACTTCTGTTTAATAAACACTACGTACAGTATTTAAGATCTGCATAATTTTCACATATACAGCAAATATTCAAGTCCATCTAATTTACTTTATAAAAGCATCTTGATGCAATTTTAATAAAGACAGTATGCTTAAAAATCTCAAATATATAGTACATTTGTTCCTGTACATGTATGTGCAAGATCTCCTGGCAGAAATACGAACACAGAATCCTATGGCTTCCCCATTTACACCTCCTTTGGCAAACACAACTTTGTATCACATGATGTAAGTACCATCTTTGAAGTATTTCATGGATTCTAGTTGCTGAGTCATTGCAAGGACATCCTGAAACCCTGTACTGAGTCCAGACATGTGCTGAAAATAAGCTTCCTTCTCCACTTGAACAGTTAGGTTATTTACACCAGCATCTTTCAGAATCGCTGTAACCTGAACAGAACAGTATGGTTAACATTAGTATTACATCTCCCAGTAACTTGCAGCACTGTGGCTCTGAAGTACTGTAGATTAAAAAAATATCATCCCAGTTTTCTGGGAAGAGAAGACAAGCTCCAGAGGGTACAGCTCTGCAACTTCTGCATATCAGGTAGCTCTCAGGGTCTTGCATAGGAAGTAAGTATCCTTGTAAGGAAAACAGAAACCCAAGGCGGACACATACTAGTAAGCTAGTTACAAACCCATGACTAACACCCAGCTATCCCTACTGCTTACTGCCTGTTCTGCAGCATGAAATCCAGCTTACCTGCTTTTCTCAGAGCAGATGTAGTACCACTTTCAACAGTGAGGAAAAGAAAAAAAAGCAAACCACCTTTTCAAATAGCTCTTCATGCAATTCCAAGCTAGGAGGCAAGGGGAGTACAGCACTAGAGACCAGTTCTGAGACATTAACTAATAGCTGCAAAAATTAATCACAAGCAGCAACTTCAAACTTCAGTTTACAATTGAAATGAAAACATTAGGCTCTAAAAACCTTGCACTCACCTGCTGTACAATTCTCTGTTCCATCACATCTGATATCACTTGCACATGTATTGTACCTGCCACAACACTTGCAGAGTGACACCAAAAATGAGGATCTCTGTACGATATGACTCCCTCTATTTTTTGAATCTGCAAAGAAATTACATTAGCAGCATTTAAGAGCACATTTTAAACTTGTGTATGTACATGGATATTGGTGACAAATACTTCACAGGGAAACAAAGCTGGACAGCAAAGCAGCTTTCCAGCTAAGATATATTCAGAAATATGTAGAACTGAAAAGTCACCTTGCTACTACTGTCAAAGACTAGAAGCTAAAAGTAAAACTAAATGAAAACCCCAGAAAAATGCAATATTAAACAGGATGGGAAAAAAAACAACCCAAACAAATAAACCTACAATTTAGTGTACAGATCCCAGCCACATCAACGGACAGACTAAAAGAGAAAACTGGCTGGATATTTACCTATTTCTAGGGCATTTGTTACCTCACTA